GTTATGCGTCCAATACACGTCATCTGGTGAGTCTAATATTCTTTCACAAGTGCGCTGATATTATTTATACCATTTCTACACTAATGCAGTGTCTGCATAGCAGTAAATCTTCCATTTTTTGTGAGAAAAATTCAAAGTGGAAAGCAAAAGAAATGTAAGAGGGGCCTGGGGACGTGACTAATGAACAGAGAAATGTTATTTTAGTACCAGGAATATCTGTCTTGTTTATTCTGGACCCAATTTGCAAATTGGCATCTTTTGAAATTTGTGTGAAATTGGCAAAATTGCTAAATTCTGACCACTTTATTGGATAGTTGAAATCGGTAAATGGGTGGTTTCGTGTACTCATTCAATAGAAAAAATGGAGTTCTAGCGAAATAGTTATGATTTTTGTCGACTAATACACTGGAATTGGTCGAAAATAGGGCTCAAAGTGGGCGAAATCGCCAACATGTAAACATCGTCGAGACCGCTAACTTCGTGAGAGCGTAATTCCGTAAATTTTCCATCAAATTTCATACTTTTGGTGTCATTATGATTGGGAAAAGATTATCTATCTTTTCATAAGAAAAAAACAATTTTTTTTTTTTCCCCTGAAAAATTTTTGACCCTGAGAACAAGTTTAGGAGAGGGCCTCTTGCCCCTGAAAGGGTTAAATCATACTGACACACATTGTACAGTAGGGCCCCGCTTTACTGCGTTTTGCCTTACGGCATTCCACTAATACGGCGATGTCAAATTATGACCAAAATTTGCTATACGGCAAGCGGTCTTTCAAATACGGCGCCCCCACCCAGTTTGTTTACATTCTCCATGACCACATCTATTATGTCAGGAAATTTTCCAAAATTTCAAGTGTTTTAAAGTTACTGCGTATTTTATACGTACTCTGATAATTATATTTATGTGTACCTGTACCTAAATGTACTTACAGAGTACGCGAATGAACTAAAAGTAGACACATATTAATACACATTTATTTTGCCTGACCAAGTGATCACCCACTACCTGTTCAGTTTGTGTTCTTACATTGTCTCGACTCTGTATCTCATTCTCTCTCTCGTTTACTCTTTCGTTAACTAGTTGGCTCTCATTGACGATGGCGTCTAAGGTTAGCTGTGATAAAAAGAGAAGTCATAAGCCTCTTGCTTTAGGTGCCAAGTTAGAGGATGATGGTGTGCCATTCTGATTTTATTTAATAAACACCCTGCCACTCACCTCTCACACATTAATATTAATATTTTAAGGTAAGTAATAAGTGTACTCTGTGTGTATCTTACCTTTTATTGTGTTTTTAATGCCTATTTCTATTGCTAACTTTGATGTTGGTGAGGGGCTCTTGATTTAGGGAATTGATCTGTGCTCCAGTTCCCCGAATTAACCCTTTGACTGTCGCGGCCGTATATATACGTCTTACGAGGTACCGTGTTTGACGTATATATACTCATAAATTCTAGCGGCCTCAAATCAAGCAGGAGAAAGCTGGTAGGCTCACATGTGAGAGAATGGGTCTGTGTGGTCAGTGTGCACCATATAAAAAAAATCCTGGAGCACGCAGTGCATAATGAGAAAAAAAAACTCCAACCGTTTTTTTTTTTCTTTCTTTTTAAATTAAAATGCCGACTTTGTGGTCTATTTTCGTATAGTATTTATGGTTGTATTCTCGTTTTCTTGGTCTCATTTGATAGAATGGAAAACATATTATAGAAATAGAGGTGATTTTGATTGATTTTTCTATAAAAAGAACCTGGAAATGGAGCTCAAACTAGGGGAAATGTTTGATTTTTGCCAATGTTCAAAAGTAAACAAATGATGTCATTGTCCAATAAATGTCCAACTAGCCATTCTAATATGCAGTCATAAATGAGTTGACATTATTTATACAATTATTACAATATTGCAGTAGTCTGCATAATAGTAAGTCTTCTATTTTTTGTTTGAATAAAAATTTAAAATAGAGAGCAAGAGTAATATCAGAGGGGCCTGGAGACATGACTGATGAACAAAGAAAATGTTATTTTAGAGCCAGGAATGTCTGTATTGTTCATTCTGGACCTTATTTTGAAATTGTCATATTTTTTAATTTTCGTGAAATTGGCCAAATTGCAAATTTCTGACCACATTATTGGGTAGTTGAAATCGGTAAATGGGCAGTTTCTTGTACTCAATCGATAGAAAAAATGGAGGTCTAAAGAAGCAGCTATGAGTTTGGTCGACTGGAACAACGGATTAGCCGAAAATAGGGCTCAAAGTGGGCGAAATCGCCGATTTGTAAATATCGCCGAGGTTGCTAACTTCGCGAGAGCATAATTCCATCAAATTTCGTTTTTTTTGGTGTCATTACAATCGGGAAAAGATTCTCTATCATTTCATAAGTTTTTTTTTTTTTTTTTTTTTTTTTTTTTTTTTTTTTTTTTTTTTTTTTTTTTTTTTTGCGACACCAGGAGACACCTCAGGATTGGGGGGTTGCGACAGTCAAAGGGTTAAGCCTGACTACAGGTTTAGCGCTTCCCCTTGATTATAATAATAATAATGTTGCTAACTTAATATAAGTTAGTGTAAACTTGTTGTATGGCATTTATTGCATATTTTATATGTGCTCTGATAATAATACATTGTACTTGTTGAGCTGTGTGGTAGCCGGGTGGAGGGATATTACGTTTTCTCTGCTCAGCCATCAGAGAAAACGTATATGAATCTGCGTTTGGCCCAGCCACTCCCCCACTTCGCTTTTGTTTACAATTTTCGGCATGAATTATTCATTACTTCTCCCTTCGTTTATGATAGCAACTAAAGGTAGTTGTTAGAAATTATTAAATTCAGTGAACAAGGTATGTCAATGTTAATAATATGGCTCTGGGCCACAGTGTAGGTAGCCGGTAGGTGTAGCCCAGGCGAGCTACACCTACCAGCTACATACACTGACTTCCTACAAATAAATACTACTCACCTCTCTTCCTATATTAAGACTACACATATTTTAAGGTAAATAATGAGTGTACTGTATGTGTATTTTACCCCTCTGGGATGTTTTAAGTATCATATATTAAGTATGAGACTGGGAGCCAGGGCTACCTACACCTGGGCTACCTGCACCTGACTTCCTACAAATAAGTACTACTCACGTCTCTCCCTACATTAAGATTACAAATACTTTAAAGATAAGTAATGAATGTACTGTGAATGTATTTTACTTTGTGTGTTTTTAATGCCTAGTTCTATTACTAACTTAATATAATTTAGTGTAAACTTGTTGTCTGGCATTTATATGCAGCTGTACATGGAAAAAATGGCGTTCTGCCTTCCGGCGATGTCTGCTTTTCGGCGACAGCCTGGAACCTAACCCGCCGTATAAGTGGGGCCCTACAGTACATCATAATAAAATAATCAAATATTACATGTCTCATATCTTTAAACCTATAGCCAATAAGCATTTTTCAAGGTGATATTTGGATTCAGGACATGAAAATACATAAGAATTAACTAATTTCATTTAAGAAGCATACAACTTTTCAAAAATTGTTGACCATTGTTACCTGTCTGTAAGAGAGGTTGCCACCAGTATTCATGTTATCTGTGATAATTGTATGTAATACATTATTTATAGCAGACAGTCTGTTACCACTTTTCCTGATAAAACTCTGAAAAAACTGTATTTTTTCGATGAGCAAATCATGGTTGTCACTTAGAACAGCATTAATTGAGAGGAAAATACAATGAACCCCCGCCTTACGAACGCATTGCGTTACGTTAAATCCGCCATATGAAGCACTTGAACGCAAAAAAATTGCATCACCTCACGATAAACTTGCTTTACGTGATTCGTCCGGGACGCATCACACGTGTGGCCTCAGCGCCAGTGTTTACAAGCCAGCCAGTGCGGTCGCATCTACGCATACATTCAGTACATTTCACATTATCCCAGTGTTTTTAGTGCTTGTAACTGAAAAATAAGTCACCATGGACTCCGAGAAAGCTTCTAGTGCCATCCCTGTGGTAAAAAGAGCGAGAATTAGTATGGGATTGAAAAAAGAGATTAAGGAAATGTGTGTAAAGTGGGTTGAACTGCAAACCTTTATGGATGAAAATCACCCTGACACATCTACTGCAAGCCTTGTTGGCAACCTGTACAATGACAATGTTATGGCCCATTTTAGGAAAGTCTTAAAGGAACGGGAGGTACAGAGCTCTATGGACAGAGTTGTTGTGAGGCAGAGGTCCGGTGAGTTTCAAGCTGGCCCTAGTGGCATTAGAAGACGGGAAGTAACCCCGGAAAAGGACTTGCTACCTCAAGTCCTAATGGAAAGGGATTCCTCTTCTAAACAATAACTTCCACACACTCCCCTCCTCCCATCCCATCAATCATCACCAGATCTTCAATAAAGGTAAGTGTCATGTATTCTATTCTTAGTACAGTAGTAATTGTGCATGTCTTCTTCAGTTTGTGTGTATTAAAATTGACATTTCATGTGGTAAAATTTTTTTTTTTTATACTTTGGGGTGTCAGGAACGAATTAATTTGATTTCCATTATTTCTTGTGGGTTAAATCAATTCGGCTAACGATAATTTCGGCTTACGATGAGCTCTCAGAAACAGATTAATATTGTAAGGCGGGGGTCCACTGTATAATGCTCCGCAGGATCTTTTCCCTTTGCATCGTGGCATGCCTTCGGGCGAGGCCATTGTTTTCTGGGGAAGGCCTAGTCACATTTGTAGTGTAAGCAACCTCCTGTGTCAGTTCTCTGTGCAAAATTATGCAGTGTTGCGTAATCCGAGGCTGAAAATATTCACCGAGCATTATAGCTTAGATTACAGTAGAAGAACAGAAAGGCACAATACCGTAGCTGGAACAACACACAAATAGCCCACACACATAGGAGAGAGAAGCTCTTATTTTGCTATTTGCTAAATAAGGCTGGGAGGAAATTTTGTTTAGATAACTTGAGAAATATTTATTCATATTTTTATATTGACATGTGATACTATTATTATATTTCAGAAAACTACTTATGACTATGAATACAGTGAACTCTTGCTGTACCAGAATCTTGTTATAAGAGAGAGCAAGAATTTACGTGAAGCATTAAAGCATCTCAATACATATGAAGCCAACATTTGTGATAAAGTCACTCTCCAAGAGCTTAGAGGTCAGTTTGTGTGTCAGTTATCTGTAGTTTCCAGAGGTCTTTTATGCTTGAAGCTTGAGAGTAAGCTTGTTTGGTGATTTTCTAATGAGCCAAATTATTATACCCTAGAGCTGTATGTAAGCCATCATACCTATCACAGCCTGATTTATTGTCACTTTTCTTGGTCATGGTCTTTTATTTATTTTCCCAATACCAGCCGTCTCCCACCAAGGCAGGGTGACCCAAGAAAAACTTTCTTTTTATATTTAGTAATTTATACAGGATAAGGGTTAGTAGCCCCTTGCTCCCAGCATTTTAGTTGCTTTTTACGACACGCATGGCTTACAGAGGATGGATTCTTTTCCAATTCCCTATGGAATGCAGTCGTTAACTGTTGTATAGAAATTTATTATACATATTCTCGTAATAGGTCTGAATAAAGATTGAACCTTAAATGTTAACACACATCATGACTGTGCCTTGAAAGGATTTTTGCTATTACAGGCAGACCCTGCTTATGCAGCAGGTTACTTTCCGGGCTACCAATGTAAAGCAAAAATTGCTGTAAAGGGAAACGGTCTTTTTTCACTTTGAAATGCATATAAAATCTTGATAACTTTTTTTTTTTTATTATTAACTCATCGGCCGATTCCCACCAAGGCAGGGTGGCCCAAAAAAGAATAACTGTCATCATCATTCACTCCATCACTGTCTTGCCAAAGGGGTGCTTTACACTACAGTTTATAAAACTGCAACATTAACACCCCTCCTTCAGAGTGCAGACAGGGGTGTTAATGTTGCAGTTTTATAATCCACAGTGTAAAGCACCCCTCTGGCAAGACAGTGATGGAGTGAATGATGATGAAAGTTTTTCTTTTTCGGGCCACCCTGCTTTGGTGGGAATCGGCCGATGTGTTAATAAAAAAAAAGCGTTATCAAGATTTTGTGTGTTTATCCTATTATATATTTAGTGAGCAGTAGAGCTAGGCCTAAAAAATGCATGTACTACAGTACACACAATACTTACCTTAAAATATTTTCAACCTTAGCTTATAGTGAGTGATGAATATATTTATTGTAGGAAATCATCAAGAATAGATATAATTGAAAGCCAATGCATTAGCGAAATGCCATAAAACGAAGTGCTGTAACGCAGGGCCCTCCTGTCGTGCATCTGCTGTGTCTTTAGCTCGGTAAATTATTTTTCTGAAAATTTGAGACAAGTTATAAAGTCTTGTAGGTGTCACCTATAAGAAACTGCTTTCTGTTCCAGAAAAGTGTACTCTCATTCAAATACTATAAAGTGATCCAATTAGTTCCAGTGTTAATTGAGCTATGTCATCAGTAACAGACATGCAATACTTTTTATAATAATTTTAGTGCTCTTCTGGGTGAAATTTTATATTTTAAAAAAGCAGGAAGTGTGATGAAAATTAAAAAATGTTTAATATATGCAGATAGACACACTACATATACCTGTTCTTATCTATTTCCTTTCATCTCCATGGGGGAAGTGGAAAAAATCTTTCCTCCATAAGTCATGCCAGGAGCAATAGGATAGTAACCCCTTCTCCTCTGTAAATTACTTAAAATAAGAAGAAAACTTTTTAAAGCTGCGATGTTTGAATGTGCGTGGATGTAATGCAGATTATAAGAAAAAGATGATTGCTAGTGTTATAAATTAAAAGGAGTTGGATGTCCTAGCTCTAAACTAAAGGAGGAGACAGTTAGGGTAAGATATAAGCAACTATTGGAAGAAAGATCGGCTAGTGAGAGTATAGGCAGTGAGATTGAAGTGGTATGGGGAAGATTTAAGAATGTAGTGTTATTGTTCAACAGAAGTTTGTGGTTGTAATAAAGTTGGTAGAATTACCGACAATATGTAAAGTAAAAGGACACAAGTGCAACTAATGTGACATTTTATTGTGGCAACGTTTTGCTCTCCAGGAGCTTTATCAAGCCGTTACAAACAGTACATGGACACAGAGGGTATATATAGGCTCAGAGTGAGTGAGTGAGTGGGTGGGTGGGCGGTGGCGGCACAATTAACCTGCACATGAGTAAACTATATAAAAGCTATTACTTGGGAAGCAAAAATTGGTTAGACAAATATTTCTATTGGAGGCTGGATAGAGAAGGCCTGTTTCAATGTTCATTCTCTGTAATGTGCTTGTGTAGTATTAACAGGAGAGACTATGTGATGGCAGGATTTACTGTTTTCAGGAGGAGTCTTGCTAAGACTTCAGAGATGGTGAAGCTGCCTTTGTTTTGTTTAATTGTATTAGAAACTACTACTACTGCTACCACTAGTATTGCACCTCACTCTGAGCCTATATATACCCTGTGTCCATGTACTGTTTGTAACGGATTGATAAAGCTCCTGGAGAGCGAAACGTTGCCACAATAAAATGTCACATTAGTTGTACTTGTGTCCTTTTACTTTACAGAAGTTTGTGGTTACAGGAAAGTGGGTGCACGAGGGAAGAAGCACAGTTGGTGGAATGATGAGGTAGAGAGAGTAATAAGAGAGAAAAAGTTAGCATTTTAGAGGTTTTTACAAAGTAAAAGTGATATAAGGAAGGAGAAATATATAGAGGAAAAAAGAGAGAAGTTAAGGGAGTGGTGAAGGAATATAAAAGGAGAGCAAATGAGAGAGTGGGTGAGATGCTATCAACAAATTTTGTTGAGAACAAGAAAAAGTTTTGGAGCAAGATTAATAAGTTGAGAAAGCCTTGGGAATGAATGGATTCGACAGTTAACAGAGGAGAGTTATTAGATGGAGAGTTATAGGTATCGGAACGACGGACAGAATATTTTGAGGAACTGTTAAATGTTGATGAAGATAGGGAAGCTGTGATTTCATGCATTGGGCAGGGGGGTATAACATCTTGTAGGAGTAAGGAAGAACCAGATGTGAGTGTTGGGGAGGTACGTGAGGCTGTGGGTAAAATGAGAGTGTAAAGCAGCTGGGATTGATGGGATCAAAACAGAAATGTTAAAAGCAGATGGGGGATATAACTTTGGAATGGTTGTTGGTGCTTTTATTTAATAAATGTATGAAAGAGACGGCCGACTTGTTGAAAAAAAAAAAATGAAAGAGAAGGTACCTAGGGATTGGTGGAGAGCATGTATAGCCTCGTTGTATTAAGGCAAAGGAGAGTGTAAAAGTTATAGGGGAATAAGTCTGTTAAGTATACCTGATAAAGTGTATGGTAGAGTTAATTATTGAAAGAATTAAGAGTAAAACAGAGAGCAGGATAGCAGATGAACAAGGAGGCTTTAGGAAGGGTTGGGGGTGTGTAGAGCAAGTGTTTACAGTGAATCATATAGGTGAACAGTATTTAGATAAGGGTAAAGAGTTTTTTGTTTCATTTATGGATTTGGAAAAGTCATATGATAGGGTGTATAAGGGAGCAATGTGGCAGATATTGCAAGTGTATGGAATAGGTGGTAGGTTATTGAAAGTAGTTAGGAGTTTTTATGAGGATTGTGAGGCTCAGGTTAAAGTATGCAGGAGAGAGGGAGATTATTTCCCTGTAAAAGTAGGCCTTAGACAGGGATTTGTAATGTCACCATAGTTGTTCAGAATTTATATAGATGGGATTGTAAGAGAAGTGAATGCTCGGATGTTGGCAAGAGGTGTGGAATTCAAAATAAAGAATCTAACAGAGTGAGAGTTGTCACGGTTGCTTGTTGCTGATGACACTATGTTTTTGGGAGATTCCTAAGAGAAGTTGCAAAGGTTGATGGACAAGTTTGGAAGGGCATGTAAAAGAAAGAAATTAAAAGTGAACATAGGGAAGAGTAAGGTGATGAAAATAACAAAAAATTTAGGTAATGAAAGATTCTATATCAGATAGGAGGGAGGGTGAATGGGGAAAGTGAATGTATTCAGATATTTGAGAGTGGTAGATTTATGTAAGACAGTGAAAGGGTTAAGACCACTTTTTTTTTTTTTTTTTTTTTTTTTTTTAAGTCGGCCATCTCCCACCAAGGCAGGGTGACCCAAAAAGAAAGAAAATCCCCCAAAAGAAAATACTTTCATCATCATTCAACACTTTCACCTCACTCACACATAATCACTGTTTTTGCAGAGGTGCTCAGAATACAACAGTTTAGAAGCATATACATATAAAGATACACAACATATCCCTCCAAACTGCCAATATCCCGAACCCCTCCTTTAGAGTGCAAGCATTGTACTTCCCATTTCCAGGACTCAAGTCCAGCTGTATAAAATAACCGGTTTTCCTGAATCCCTTCACTAAATATTACCCTGCTCACACTTCAACAGCTCGTCAGGTCCCAAATACCATTCGTCTCCATTCACCCCTATCTAACACGCTCACGCACGCTTGCTGTAAGTCCAAGCCCCTCTCCCACAAAACCTCCTTTACCCCCTCCCTCCAACCTTTTTGAGGACAACCCCTACCCTGCCTTCCTTCTACAAATTTATACGCTCTCCATGTCATTCGACTTTGATCCATTCTCTCTAAATGACCAAACTACCTCAACAACCCTTCTTCAGCCCTCTGACTAATATGGACTTTTATTAACTCCACACCTTCTCCTAATTTCCACACACTGAATTTTCTGCATAATATTTATACCACACATTGCCCTTAGACAGGACATCTCCACTGCCTCCAACTGCCTCCTCGCTGCAGCATTTACAACCCAAGCTTCACACCCATGTAAGAGTGTTGGTACTACTATACTTTCATACATTCCCTTCTTTGCCTCCATAGATAATATTTTTTGACTCCACGTATACCTCAACACACCACTTGCCTTTTTTCCTTCATCAAGTCTATGATTAACCTCATCCCTCATAAATCCATCCACTGACACATCAACTCCCAAATATCTGAAAACATTCACTTCTTCCATACTCCTCCTCCTCAATTTGATATCCAATTTTTCTTTATCTAAATCATTTGATACTCTCATCACCTTACTCTTTTCTATGTTCACTTTCAACTTTCACTAGTTAAAAGTTAATTTTATACCTTTGTTCCATATACCTGAAAAGCAGTGGTTAGAGCATCTTTTGAAAGCTATTACATATTGAATCGTGGGTTTAGGTGAATGTAACATGAGTTTCTGTGCTTCATTATGGAAAAAGTGCACAAAATAAAAAAATTCCTCGATATATACAGGGACCTGCTGTAATGAGAAATGACAATTGAAACATTTCGTAAGTCAAATAGATAATGTCTTTTTTAATTGTGTTGCATCCTCCTGAAAATGCATGTTTTTCCTTTAACAGGAGAATTATTAATGAAATTAGGAAGAAAAGAAGAAGCGTCAGAAGTCTACAGAGGTTTAATCAAACGTAATCCAGAAAACCGCAACTACTACCTCAAGTTAGAGGAGGCCTTCGGCCTTACTACAGTTGAAGAAAGACTAAAATTATATGAAGAACTCAAAGAGAAGTAAGTTGTATTTTCCCCTCTTTTTCTCCCCAAGTACTAAAGTTTTGCTGCATTTGAGGAACCACTAAAGTTAACCTAATGTATATTTGTACTTTTAACCCTTTGAGGGTCCGCTCCATAGATCTATGGCTTTGAAGCCTGGATCCAGACTATAGCTCTACGCCATTAACTCGGCTCGCTCAGATAAGCTGTGAGTGGTAAATTTGGGCCTAGATATGAGAGAGTGCATCTATGTGGTAAGTGTGCACCATATAAAACAAATCCTGCAGCACGCAGTGCATAATGAGAAAAAAAAACTGAGACCGTGTTTTTGGATTAAAACAGCTCAGAGTAGCAGAAATGCTCGATTTTTGCCGATGTTCAAGAGTAAACAAATGACGTCACACGTCCAGTACAAGTCAACTGGTGAGTCTAATATATATTCATGAATGCGCTGATATTATTTATACATTTATTACAGTATTGCATAACAGTAAATCATCTATTTTTTGGTGTGAATAAAAATTCATTATGTAAATAAAAAATCAAAGTGGAATGCATTTGTAAAACCTGGAAATGTAACAAATAAACATAGGAAATGTTGTTTTAGTGCCAGGAATACCTGCATTGTTTATTCTGGGCCCTATTTTGAAACTGGGATGTTTTGAACTTTGTGTGAAATTGGCCAAATTACCAATTTCCAATCACTATTGGGTAGTTGATATAGTTGATTGGGTGATTTCTTGTGCTCTATCAATAAAATAGAAGTAATGCTAGTGAAAAGCTAAGAATTTGGTTGACTGGAATAATGTAATTGGCTTAAAATGGGAGTCAAAGTGGGCAAAATCTCCATTGCGTAAATATTGCTGACGCAGCAATATTCACGTTAGTGTAATTTCGTCAATTTTCCATCAAATTTTGTACTTTTTGTTTGATTTCCTTCATAAAAAGATTCTCTACTGTTTTGTAAGAAAAAAAAATTGAAAATTTTTGGACCCTGTGGACAAATTTCAGATCAGGGGCCTGGACCTTGAAAGGGTTAAATATCTATAGGAAATAAGTGAAAAACACACTTACATTAACAGTGGTACCATGAAATATGTTTACAGTATGATGCATGCATTTTTGACATTAAACTAGTTGTCTATAATTGTCTTTGTAAGACAAACTGGTCATCAATGTTTTACAAAATTCCCATTCTTCTCTTACCAACTTTTTAATTGGCAATCTCTTTAGCAAAAGCAACAAGTTAATCCTTATGTAAACAGTAGGTTAAATCTTAATTGTAAAGGTGCCTTTTAACCCTTTGAGGGTCCGTCCTGTATTTCTACAGCTTTGAAGTCATGGTCCAAGCCATAGTTCTACGCCATGAGCTCAGCTCACTCAGATAACCTGTGAGTGGTAAATTTGGGCCTAGTTATAAGAGAATGCATCAATGTGGTATGTGTGCACCGTGTAAAACAAATCCTGCAGCATGCAGTGCATAATGAAAAAAAAAACAGACCGTGTTTTTTTTTATTATTAAAACGGTGCCATTGCGGTGTATTTTTTTATTTTTTTTATGGTTGTATTCACAGTTTCTTGGTCTCATTTGATAGAATGGAAGATATATTAGAGAAATAGAGATGATTTTGATTGGTTTTAGTACTGAAAATTGTTTGAAACTGAGCTCAAAGTAACAGAAATGTTCGATTTTTGCCAGTGTTCAAGATTAAACAAATGACATCATGCTTCCAATACACGTCAGCTGGTGGGTCTAATGTGCATTCACGAATGTGCTGATATTATTTATACAATTATTACAATATTGCGTAACAGTAAATCTTCTATTTTTTGGTGTGAATAAAAATTCATTATGTGAATAAAAAATCAAAGTGGAATTCATTTGTAAATCCTGGAAACATAACTAATAAACAGAGGAAATGTTATTTTAGTGCCAGGAATGTCTGCATTGTTTATTCTGGACCCTATTTTGAAATTTAAATATTTTGAACTTGATGTGAAATTGGTCAAATTACTAATTTCCAATCACTTTATTGGGTAGTTGAAATAGTTGACTGGGTGATTTCTTGTGCTCAGTCAATAAAATATAAGTAATACTAGCAAAATAACTAAGAATTTGGTCGACTGGAATAATGTAATTGGCCTAAAATGGGAGTCAAAATGGGCAAAATCGCCGATGCATAAATATCGCTGACACAGCTAAATTTGCGAGAGCATAATTTCATCAGTTTTCCATCAAATTTCATACTTCTTGTTTTACTACCTTCAGAAAAAGATTCTCTGCCATTTCATAAGAAAAATTAACAAAAATATTTTTTGAAAATTCTTGTACCCTGTGGAGAAGTTTCGGATCTGTGGTCTGGACCCTGATAGGGTTTATAATAAAAAGGACAGTATAACGTGTTTTTAGTCATGTGCATTTTCTCGTACTTTCAGTAAGACAACAATGCTTTTGCAGCCATGTAAAATTAACCATTAGGGGGAAATGGTCAGTTGGAAAAATACTTCTGTCATTAGTTGCTTTACTGTTTCAGGAATATTTGACAAATGTATATTAATTGAAATGGCTTACAGCTTGTTTCTCTTGCAGGTTCCCCCGTGCTCAAGTGCCTAAGCGTTTGCCCCTCAATTATGCTAGAGGTGAAGTGCTGGACTCTTTGTTAGATGTATACCTAAGAGCAGCATTACAGAAAGGTGTCCCTCCACTCTTCACTGATATCCGGTCGTTATACAGTGATCCCGAGAAAATCCAGATTGTTGAAAAGCTCATGTATGGCTACCTGAAAAACTTGGAGGAAACGGGACACTTGTGTGAAACGGGTTAGTACGCTCTTTGAAGAGTATCTTGTGATTTGTATCTGTTTGGTTTTCAAAACAAGCACCCTCAAAACTGTCAGATAATGAGATTTAGGTTAGGTTTCTTATTGAGTATACTGTATATATAAGCCTCTCAGTTAAGGGAAAAAGAGGTTAGGTGAAATTAACAGCTTGGGTAATAATAGTCAGAATTGCTTGATTTTTGTATCAAAAGTTCAGAAGGACATGAGGATTGTATCCAAGAAGTTGTATGAAAAATGCCTGAAAACGAAAAAAAAAATTGGTATGGCAACACTTGCAATACATTTACACAAAATTGATAATACTAAGTGTTTTAGTGACTGTACGTGATGAAGTGAAGCACAGTCAAATTCATTGCAAAGGCAAATGTAGGAAATTACTATTTATTTTTAATGGAAAAGAAAAACAGAAACAAAACTACAGAATTTTTGAGGAGGATAATATAATGTAATGTCTTACTTTTGACTTTCCAGTAACATCAGTTGGGCTTTATTTGATCCACTACACTTGCCTTATACACTATTGGTGTTCCTAATTTTACAGAAACGTGTCATAAATCTTCATGGAATTTCTAGGATACACTCCTCATGCCCTTTTAAACTTTCAATAAAAAATGAAACTATTTTAACTACTACTGAAGTTGCTAATTTCATTTCAACCCCCTCCTCTTTTAAGTTATGATTTGTGTGTAAAGACACACTCCTCAAATGTTTATAACGATCACTTTTCTCCCTAGGAGGGGTGTTAATGTTGCAGTTTAAAAACTGTAGTGTAAAGCACCCTTCTGGCAAGACAGTGATGGAGTGAATGATGGTGAAAGTTTTTCTTTTTCGGGCCACCCTGCCTTGGTGGGAATCGGCCAGTGTGATAATAAAAAATAAAATAAAATTTTCTCCCTAACAGATAATGAGTACAAGGAACCAGCCTCAATCTTATATGTATTGATGTTCTTGGCACAACATCACAGTTACTTAGGAGACACAGAAAAGGCACTTGCACTCATGGAGCAGGCATTAGAGCACACTCCAACCCTTATAGAACTCTATATTGTAAAGGGTAAAATATTAAAGGTAAGATACCACGGTAGAGTGTTAAAGTTTTAATAACTCATGGTTAACTTTTACACCACTCTCTTTTGGGCTCTTTCTGTACTCGGGTAATTTCTTGATACCATATTCCATCCCCCCATTCACTCTCTCATGGTAGCAATCTAAATGCCAACAGGAATTGTTGGCATTTAGATTTGCTTTTTCTATCGGTTTGCTTTAATTCACTTTTTGAAAAGCTCTTCTTTACTAACTTTCATTCTTTCGCTCTTTGAAACATTTCCCTTATCTTTTAGTTTCCCTGATTATCATCAATTGTCAGCTTTGGTTGGTTTCTTCATCTTGCCGTTCTTTTCATTTTTTTTTTTTTATTGTTCATGGCCATCTCTTCCATTCTTTTTTCTCCTGCAGCTTCTAAACTCCTGCATCTTGTATTTTTCTGACAAAACATTTAAACAAGTAAACTGTTTGGTAATTCACATGTAATTAACAGAAAAAACGTTTGATATATTTTAAGTTATTTTTTGGAGTGTATTGCTCTTTTAAATATTTAATTTCTGCATATCATTTTTTCCTTCATTAAACCATAGGAAGCTGCTAATTAATTGTTTTATTTCATGATGCATTCATTAGACTTACTGCACTTTCACAGCATGCTGGTGACTATGTAGGTGCGTATGAGGCCTTACAAGAAGCCCAGGCACTTGACACAGCTGACCGATACGTCAATTCCAAAGCAGCATCATACCTTCTTAAAGCAAATTTAGTCAGACAAGCAGAAGAAATGTGCTCCAAGTTTACTAGAGTAAGTACTTTTTCCAGTAGTAATACAGTATACATTGACGCCTCCATAATTGGTAATTTTAACCTTTCGCTGGTAGGGTAACCCAAGATTGCATTTACCTGTTGTGACGGCCAAGCCAGTGTCAACTTAGTGAGTCAAACTCTCAATATAATGTACATAGTATGAATGAAAGCTTTTCTTTTTCTGGTCACCCTGCCTCGGTGGAAGATGGCCAACATGTTAGAAAAATATATTTTCATATGCATTACATTAGTGTAATATGCAAATGTTACATAGCACTTACTATTCAGGTTTATTTCACTTTTCATGTGATTTTTTTAAACTGGTTGTTTCCTACCAAGGAAGAAAAACATTCTCTGCCACTTAGCAGTCTTCCCAGAAAGAACTGGAGATGGCAGTATTTGTAGTATACAGTACAGAATATAAGACAAAAAAATCATACATTTTTGTACAAATGTAATATAAAAATACCATCTAGAAATGGATGAAATTGCTAAGTGTGTGTTTCATGAATACTATGGGGGGAGGATAATGAGATAAATAAAGTATGCGAGAATCACAAGTAGCTTTAGGCCAGGATTAGAAGCTTAGAGATAATTATGGGAAAATTGGAGGAGAGGTTAGTGGTTGTGCTGCCACAGTAATTAAAGCTGTGAAGAGAAGAGACAGATTGCAGAACAAGCTTTCATTGCCCCTTTAACCTTTTCAGGGTCGGAACTCTTGATCTGAGAATTGCTTTCATGGCCAAAGAAGTTTAAAAAAAAAAAAAAAAAAAAAGTTCTTATGAAATAATCTTTTTTCTGTAGGTAATGAAACCAAAAGTATAAAATTTGATGGAAAACTTACAGAATTACACTCCACAAACTTAGCGATCTTGGTCGTATTTACACATTGTTTATTTTGCCCACTTTGAGCCCTATTTTCAGCCAGTCCCATTGTTCCAATCAACCAAATTCATGGCTATTTCACTAGTATTCCTTCTCTTCTATTGATTGAGTACAAGAAACTTCATATTAATTATTTCAACTACCCAGTAAATTGATCAGAAATCTGTAATTTGGCCAATTTCACACAAAATTCAAAAATTGCCAATTAAAAAACAGGGTCCAGAATAAACAATGTAGACATTCCTCGCACTTAACCCTTTGAGGGGTCGAGACCCCCCGATCCTAAACTCGTTCTCAAGGTTGAAAAATATTTAACCCTTAAACTGTCCAAACGTAGATCTACGTTTGCACGCATACCTCTTTAAATGTAGATCAGCGTTTTATTTTTCATTCCTTCAAATTTGGCACAATAGGCTTGAGTCGCCTAGACATGAAAGAATGGGTCTGTGCACTCAGTGTGTGCAGCTAGAGTAAATAGCGTGGCAAACACCAGGGATTCACTGATGCCATCGCATTAACACTCCCATTTTAAGAGCAAAGTAAAAATAGGTTAGATAAATACACAAGTGAGTGTGGGCAGGTGTGAGTTGGACCTGACTAGCTTGTGCTATTAGGTCTGATGTCATGTTCCTTCCTTCAGTGGATGTAACCTGACTAGGTGGGTCATTGGTCTAAGCTGGGGGGGGGTGACATGTACCTGCCTTGCATGGGCCAGTAAGCCTGCTACAGTGTTCCTTCTTTCTTATGTTCTTATGTATTTGGCAGGCTGTCCAGCTGGCTGGCTTTGGCTGTCTCTGGCTCTGTCTCTGTCTGTATCTCTATCTGTCTATATCTCTGTCTATCTATATCTCTGTCTCACATGTACACATAAGTACAGTTATTATACATAGTGTAAATTACTTAAGATAATCCAAAAATTCCAGGCAAAGATAGACAGCCAGATAAATAAACAGAGACAAGACATGTTTGTGTGTAACAGTGATAAATACAGCGAGGGTTAGCTGGAGCAGTGGGCATTTATCAGTTGTCACTGGGCTGTCAACAGTATAGGGATGCCTTTCATAACACCATGCTTCAAGGTGTATGCCAGAGTATCTAAAACATTGCTGGGACCTATAAATACTTTGTATATATTTCTAGACAATAGTAAATAACCCAAGCAGGAGTAAATGTTGACCTGACTATTTGAGTACTATTTCGGTACCTAATATTAGCGTCGAAACATTGATTGGCTATGAAATTACAAAAACTATTTTTTTTTTTTTTTTTTCAACAAGTCGGCCGTCTCTCACCGAGGCAGGCTGACCCAAAAAAGAAAGAAAATCACCAAAAAGAAAATACTTTCATCATCTTTCAACACTTTCACCACACTCGCACATTATCACTGCTTTTGCAGAGGTGCTCAGAATACAACAGCTTAGAAGCATATACGTATAAAGATACACAACATATCCCTCCAAACTGCCAATATCCCAAACCCCTCCTTTAAAGTGCAGGCATTGTACTTCCCATTTCCAGGACTCGAGTCCGACTATATGAACATAACCGGTTTCCCTGAATCCCTTCACTAAATATTACCCTGCTCACACTCCAACAGATCGTCAGGTCCCAAGTATCATTCGCCTCCATTCACTCCTATCTAACACGCTCATGCACGCTTGCTGGAAGTCCAAGCCCTTAGCCCACAAAACCTCCTTTACCCCCTCTTTCCAACCCTTTCGAGGACGACCCCTACCCCTCCTTCCTTCCCCTATAGATTTATATGCTTTCCATGTCATTCTACTTTGATCCATTCTCTCTAAATGACCAAACCACCTCAACAACCCCTCTTCTGCCCTCTGACTAATGCTTTTATTAACTCCACACCTTCTCCTGATTTCCACACTCCGAATTTTCTGCATAATATTTACACCACACATTGCCCTTAGACAGGACATCTCCACTGCCTCCAACCGTCTCCTGCTGCTGCATTTACCACCCAAGCTTCACATCCATATAAGAGTGTTGGTACTACTATACTTTCATACATTCCCTTCTTTGCCTCCATAGATAACGTTTTTTGACTCCACATATACCTCAACGCACCACTCACCTTTTTTCCCTCATCAATTCTATGATTAACCTCATCCTTCATAAATCCATCCGCCGACACGTCAACTCCCAAGTATCTGAAAACATTCACTTCTTCCATACTCCTCCTCCCCAATTTAATATCCAATTTTTCTTTATCTAAATCATTTGATACCCTCATCACCTTACTCTTTTCTATCAAGGTTTTTTTTTATACTGCACACACTGACCACACAGACCCATTCTTTCATATGTAGGCCTGCCAGCTTTCTTCCACCAGATTTGAAAGTGCTTGAATTTACGCATATAAGTACGTGACCGATCTAGGTAGTAGGTTGGTAGACAGCAACCGCCCAGGGAGGTACTACTGTCCTGCCAGGTGAGTGTAAAATTGAAGCCTGTAATTGTTTTACATGATGGTAGGATTGCTGGTGTCTTTTTTTTTCTTTCTCATACACATGCAAGATTTCAGGTACGTCTTGCTACTTCTACTTACACTTAGGTCACACTACACATACATGTACAAGCATATATATACACACCCCTTTGGGTTTTCTTCTATTTTCTTTCTAGTTCTTGTTCTTGTTTATTTCCTCTTACCTCCATGGGGAAGTGGAACAGAATTCTTCCTCCGTAAGCCATGCGTGTTGTAAGAGACGACTAAAATGCCGGGAGCAAGGGGCTAGTAACCCCTTCTCCTGTATATATTACTAAATGTAAAAGGATAAACCTTCGTTTTTCCTTTTGGGCCACCCCGCCTCGGTGGGATACAGCCAGTGTATTGAAAGAAAGAAGTACGTGACCGATCTAGGTAGTAGGTTGGTAGACAGCAACCGCCCAGGGAGGTACTACTGTCCTGCCAAGTGAGTGTAAAACGAAAGCCTGTAATTGTTTTACATGATGGTAGGATTGCTGGTGTCCTTTTTTCTGTCTCATAAACATGCAAGATTTCAGGTACATCTTGCTACTTCTACTTACACTTAGGTCACACTACACACACATGTACAAGCATATATATATATATACACACCCCTCTGGGTTTTCTTCTATTTTCTTTCTAGTTCTTGTTCTTGTTTATTTCCTCTTATCTCCATGGGGAAGGGGAACAGAATTCTTCCTCCGTAAGCCATGCGTGTTGTAAGAGGCGACTAAAATGCCAGGAGCAAGGGACTAGTAACCCCTTCTCCCGTATAAATTACTAAATTTAAAAAGAGAAACTTTCGTTTTTCTTTTTGGGCCACCCCGCCTCGGTGGGATACGGCCGATGTGTTGAAAGAAAGAAGTACTACATGACCGACCCTGGCTGTTATGACGTTCATGTACATGACCGACACTCAAAGGGTTAAAAAATATTTCCATTTTGAATTTTTAATCACACAAATAGAAGATTTACTGTTTCACAGACTGAATTATTGTAATAACTGTATAAATAATGTCAGGTCAGGTCAGGGGTTTCAAATGAAGTTAAGAGCTAAAGAAGGAGTAGCAATAATATTATTATTATTATTATTATTATCACACTGGCCGATTCCCACCAAGGCAGGGTGGCCCGAAAAAGAAAAACTTTCACCATCATTCACTCCATCACTGTCTTGCCAGAAGGGTGCTTTACACTACAGTTTTTAAACTGCAACATTAATAACCCTCCTTCAGAGTGCAGGCACTGTACTTCCCATCTCCAGGACTCAAGTCCGGCCTGCCAGTTTCCCTGAATCCCTTCATAAATGTTACTTTGCTCACACTCCAACAGCACGTCAAGTATTAAAAACCATTTGTCGCCATTCACTCCTATCAAACACGCTCACGCATGCCTGCTGGAAGTCCAAGCCCCTCGCACACAAAACCTCCTTTACCCCCTCCCTCCAACCCTTCTAGGCCGACCCCTACCCCGCCTTCCTTCACTACAGACTGATACACTCTTGAAGTCATTCTGTTTCGCTCCATTCTCTCTACATGTCCGAACCACCTCCACAACCCTTCCTCAGCCCTCTGGACAACAGTTTTGGTAATCCCGCACCTCCTCCTAACTTCCAAACTACGAAT